CGTTACGTATCGGCGGTCCATCGCTCGCCCCCCCGTCCAGCGGCGCTCTCGTCTCCCATTCTCCCTTTCGCACCCCTTGCGGGTTTTCCCGAATTTCGTCTCTCCGTACGTGTCTCCCGCCCCCACCGTCGCCCTCCCGGTCGCTCGCGCGCCCTTATACCCTACGGGAAATCGATTTTTCGACGGCAGGGTCCCCACTGCCGGCTGCAGCGGCAGCGACCGCCGCCGCCACCGCCGCCGCCGCCGGTGCTCCCCCCCCCCCCCCCCCCCGCAGCGCCAACGGTCGTCATTTTGCGTGCGAAGAGAGAGAGCAGCCAGCCACGCGCGTGCATCGCGCCGCACGCGAGTAATATACACAGACGATATTCGATAGACCCGCCGCCGACGATCCGATTCCCTTCATCGTTACGATCTGCGAAGCTATGCCCTTTTCGCTGCGTTGAACTCGAGCCGCGCGCGAACCGTGTCGCACACGTGGGACGCTTACCCCATAGTTTCCATGCACGCGAACCGACGACGGAAAGCGCTACTCGTCTTAGTTGAGCCCCCTCTCCTCCGCCGTTCCCCGCCGGCGTCACGTGACATACACGTATCCCGCAGGGGTCTCTAAACTTTCCGCACGCGCAAGTATGTAACTTCTCGCATAGTACAGCGGCGAAGTTATGTCATTTCGCGCGTTTGAAAACGGAGTCGGGGGCCGCCTCCTCCGCGCGCTCCGTCCCGACGATGCGATGCAAAGTTCGCGCTGGCGAAGATCCGATAGCGATCTCTCTCGACGCTAACGTACTCGACTGTAAATTTAGCACAATGTAACTACGCGATTGGAAAAAGATCACTGGAGCCGAAGAGATACGGTGAGCTTCCGACAGTGCCGCGGACAACGCCAAAGAGAAGTCCGCCACGTTTATCTGTCACGTGATACGGAAGACGCTCTATAATTGATTAACGTCTAACTTCTTATCGATAACTGAAAATAAAAATGAACCGCGGCGACCCGCTAGATCCGACCCTTATCTAAATAGAACATCATTGCGCAAAGAACCATCTTTCTAATAACACTAATAGTAACGTTACAGCGACGATGTTATATTATAACTTCCCACTTGACAACATAATGCACACGTTATATGTGAAGCGTTATCGTTAAGTCCTGTATCCACGATGCACGAAACTTCGAGATCTCGGATAAAGAAAGAACGATTGGTCAAAATCGTTATTGGTCATGTGACCAAATTATTCAAATGTGATTTGTTCATTCTTTTTCTGACCCCCCACCGAGATCTTGGACTGATTTCTAGTATCTGGACACAAGGCTTTAATCACGAAACATAACAGGTACAGAAGGCTTTAAGCCGTAAGAAAATCTATTGTAAGTATACAATAGATGTAGTAAAGGGACCCGCATACACTTTCCATAACAGTAATCATGAGACGTACCGTAAAAGTTTTTAAAAAAATTCTTGACTGTGATTGGCTAATTCTTACGGTTACTGTTATGAAAAGTGTCTGCGCGACCTTAAGCCCTAAATCTTAAGAAATTCATCATCCACCAATCGAGTCTTCTTCTCACATTCGATTCTACTGTGATTAATTCCTTAAAGAATTTACTATCCCTATTCCGGACTTAATTAATCATAGTTAGAGTCGATTTATTCTACTAATTAATCATAATTATAATCGATTATTCTCCTCACATTCGACTATGATTGGCCAATATCGTACAAATTAAAGCTTCCTACACCTATTGTGTTTCGGGAATAATGCGCGATTGAAAATCACGGGCAATTTTACTGCTTTCAGCAGAAAAAGCAGCTTTGAAATTCTTGTAAGATTCCTCAACATGATTAAGTTACACATTTAGGGCCAGCAAGAAACTAATGGACTTTCTATAAAAGCCGTTACCTAAGTTTTAAACCTTAAACTCTAAAAAAACTGACCAAGTATATAAGGTGCGTTTTAACAAGAGACACAGATGACATGATCACTGTGTCGCTTGGTGGTTTGCGTTCCGAAACTCGACTCTGTCAACCCGAGTAATCACTTTATCCTTGTTGTTCATCGAATGTTGAATAAGGATAAAAGATACTCGGAGCTCACAGAAATTCAAATTTTGAAACGTACCTCTGGAAAGCGTCAATAGTCGATTGTTCTTCTTACATTCAATTGCAACTGATCAGTTTCTTATAGTTTAAGATTTAAAGCTTAAGCTTAATGGCTTATTGTAGAAAGTCCACAAGGGCTAGATTCTAGCTAGAATCATTTATTGATATAAAAGAATCTTATAATACAACAGTTGTAAAATTAATCAAAATGCAGGTTTCTAATAGATTAAAATCTGTTACTTTCTGTTCCTATATTGCCGGTGCTTTTTCGATTATGTATTAAGCCTTAAGGTAGGAGTATAGAGATTCTTGCATAACGCATAAGAAAATCACAACCAAAGTATTTTATTTCACGGAAAGGAAGAAAATAAACTCCTTTTTGATTGGTTAATTATCCGTTATGCAATACTGTGCTCCCGCCCTTGAGGAAATTATACATTGTTATGTTACTGTTGGAGTTTAACTGGATATCACTTACACATTAGTAGTTCGAATTTTGTAAAGAGACGAATTATTAAAGGTATCCCTAAAGCTGTTTATCGGCGTCAGGACTTAACACACACGAATTACGTGTCATTGACACGTAATCACTACACACTACTACACCAATATCGTACGCGTACATATGTATAGATTTTCTAACGAATCTTTCATATCAGGTATCTGAACGTAAGTCAGAGAACTCAATATATTGTTCGTTCATATAATTCTTATTCCGGACCAAGACTGCTTTAAACAAAATATAAAAACAATTCATGTCGATGTCAGAAATCGATAACGGAACTGTAATTTTTTAACTTTTTTTTCATTCTTGGCAAAGTCGACCGATTTGATTTGTAAGATGATAAATGCTTATTTGAAAAATAATCGATAAAATACACATGACTTTAGGATCCCCTTAAGTCTCGTGTCAGTGATGTTGGAAATCGCTCCGAGATCTCGGACAGAAAAATTACTAAAGAATTAACAAGTCATATTTTAATTCGGTCACATGATCGATACGCTTGATCAATTCTTTCTCCATTCGAGATCTCGAAGTGATTTTAAGACATAAAACTTAAGGTCTATTCTTTTAGCTGAACTTCTTGAACTATCTTTCCTTTTTTTTTTAATGATAAAAAAGAGAAAGGATGAACTATGCAAGAAGTTCAACTAAAAAAAGAAAAAACTTATTAGGCAATTTTATTTGTCACACAAAATTTTCAAGCACGTTAATTGATTGTATCGTAAAAAGTAGAGAAATTTTCAAGGTTCTAGAAATTCTCTATCTTATAGTCAATCAATCAATTACGTTCACAAAATTTGTCGCAAGACAAATGAAATATTAGCCTTATTCGGCTGGAAAACAATCGATCCGTCTGTTTTCCTATCGCATGCGATTCGCGCGAATACACAGGTTTCTTCCCCAACTTTCGCTGATCAACATGCAATGCGAGATCGACTCGCGTCCTCATTCGCGAATATACAGAGTTATTGTTCGTATCAAATGTGATGATCAATTTCTCACAAAAAAAAAATATATATATATAAGCCTGAACGTGATCTACGCGCAGC